CATATTATTGCTCTTCCTCTTTACCAATCATACCTCTTTATGTTGATTGGCGTAGTAATAGGTCTTTACCCTTTTCGGTTGATCATTTCAATAGAATAATGGGCATTTTTGAACTTTTTGACCTCTGATCCAACAAATCCTAATGCTGGCTATCTCCAGCATTTCACAGCCTGCTTATTCTACTTACTCCAATACTAAACAACAGACTTAAGTTGATATGCTTTGTTCTGAATATGCCTAAGGGAGCAGTAATAATTGATGCAATATATGGCTGTATTAATTAGAGCGAGGACTGCCGAAAGTTAAAATAACAGGTTTCCAATGTCATAAGATGGGCCAGAAAATCGAAAAAAAATATGTGATCATTCGCCCTTCAACTTGTCATGATGAGGGGCATAGTAGAATGACCTCTAGCACTACCTGTCTTTCATGGTCTCCAAATTTTGGATAAATTGCCTCCTCCCCTCCCAACAAATCGAATAACAAACAATTTAGGTATAATTTTTGAATGTACATTAAATCATAGAAGAAACCCTTAACCACTGAGCAAATGGAGTTCAAATACTCAAGCAAAATCGAATTCCCTGAATTTCGTTTCACTTTTCAACTAAGAGAGGAATTTAAAATTTATGTATTACATTGGCAGAGGTATAAAATTACGTTTACATACATTATTAGTCAAATAATCCTGATCTAAATTGCACATAATTGAATTTATTTTTCAGACCTCCCAACTAACAGTATCAAAATGTTCTCAATAACTTGTAGAGAAATGGCGGGAGACTATTTTCACGGAAAGTGGCATTAATCAACAATATTCAGTTGCCACAGAGCTCTGTTCCATGGGCAAGGTTATTACATACTTTTGAAAGAAATGCAACTCTTGCGTAAATGTTAGTTTCAATAAAAAACTCAAAAATGAATATTAAGCTACTAATGACTTGACAGTAAAACTAAAATAGGACGCAACATTTGTTGTCCATATTTAGAAGTCTGACTGCAATCCCACTTTCTTTTGGCCTTGATGTTTCCCTCCTATTAGTAGAAAGCCCATAAACCAATCACAAGGTTTCATCCCCACTGTCCAAACACTGCCATTAGCTAGTTAGTAAGAGGTGGATAAAACAAACACAGGAGGGCTTACATAGCTTTTATTCCCATTGGACAAAACGTGACTTTCGTGCATGAGTAGTACCAAATTAGAAATTGTTTCATTCAATGTCGTCAGTTACTAATTCCTCAAATCATCTTGTCATTTTCACTCCTCATGCTCTCATAATAGATAATCGAAAATCTCATTCTCCTACAGACATTTCAAATGCTTTCTCTGAATGGTTAGCTGGTAAAGCTCAGAGGGACTTGGATTTATTCAGTGTGGCTACTAAATCCATCGGTGGTGCTGACTTGGATGAAACTTTCGAGAACTTTCTGCAAGCCTTGGAAGTAGCTGATTGTGCTATTATCGTGATACCTGGACAGCAAATCTGCCTTCTTGACGCCATATATCCTAGACTGCTTGTTCACTTAACCTTTCGCCCTTGGTGGTCAAAGAGGATGCTTCTCGTGAGTTTAGGCGAGATTGCAAAAAATGGAAAGAAATTTGATGCCAAAATATTTAATCACCCACCCGTGATTTTCCCAATTTCTCCAAGTAGCTGGGAAAAGGAAGTTGATCAATGGAAAATAATAGCAGAATTTATTCATCGTAAGTTGACACGAATGGTAAAGCGAGATGGCAACTTTAATTGTATTTCGTCTAATCCAAAAAGAATGACAACATCATGCTGTTGAGATTTAAAATTTCTCCAAAAAATATCGTTCTATGCAAAGACTATATAGCTAAGTAGAATATTATTGAGAGAGCTATTAGCCAGAGCTCTATCTTCAAAGCCAAGTTCTAAAAACGACTTACATTACCTTTTTATAAATTGTTTAAACGTTTCTAGCATTCTGGGTTCGACAAAATTACGGGAATTAAATATTGTCTTTGCTTTTCTTCAAAGATACAAATTTACACGCCATAGTTCATCTCGCTTTTGCTGTGCTAATTTCAATTATCTTTTAACTGTAAAATATAATATCTGTTCTTGTTTTAAAACAGCCGCTATTTTCAGCTTCGATTTGTTGCCTCGGTTCAGTCAATAATACAATAAAAGTAAAAATTATATTTATAATAGAAGACGTGATCAATAGCACATCCAATCTAACTTTATTTAGTAATTTCAGATATTCTCCAATAATCCAAACTTTGAATTATTAAATAAATCGGATCATGATATAGTACTTAAAAGGAAGGACATCCCCGGGTTTCCAATTGGTAAAGTAGGAAATAATATAAATAATAAGCTATTTCAATGCCCAGAACAAAGAAAGTGCTAAGGATTTACTTAAATGTAATATATGGAAATAAGTGCCTTAAATCTCTGCTTTTGGAGGAAAGTATTTCATCCATCTCGGGGGAAGAATTGACGTCTAAGAAACTAACTTCACATCGTTTCCTCTTTTTGGAGCGGTTAGAATTTCATTTCTGCCGAAACGGAAGTAAATTTCATGTCAACTCGTTAGATAAATATAATAGAAATTTTACTTTTCGGACTAATGAGTACTTATTTATAACTGCAGTGGAAAAGATCTGAGAAGGGCTTAGGAGAATTGTTGTGTGGAATACGGATTTTCTGTTTCCCCGTTTTGAGTACAGCACTCTGTATTCCCTCCAAAATTTCACCTCTTAACTTCTTTGATAGCGCACAAACACTTAATTCTTATCCTAAACTTATTTGTAAAACTGAAACACTTAAAAAAAGTCAAAATGACTTTTAGCTCTCTATTTAAGGCTCTAATTCATTTACGTCTTCATGAATTGCATTAGGCTATTGATTCTACTTGGATTTAATCAAGTACGATCATGTGTTTAACTTTCTACGTCACGTTCAGGCTTAAAAAAATGTTGTTGATTGGAAACCAAGCTGTAATAAATCAATGATTAAGATAACATTTTGTAGATTGGATTTAAGTAAAATGTTTAACCATGATATAAAAAAATGAAAAAATCCTCTTTGATTATCATAATGATTTGAGATTTTGCTTTATTGTCGAGGTAATATGAATAATGGCCATTTGTATGGTTAGATCGCACTGATGATAGTCTCAATTAACTTAAATTAATCCAATATGTCCACATTCAACTAAACTGTGCAGCAATAAGTGAATGAAACGTACATTTCTTAATGTCATCAATTAAGTCAACTTATGTATAATATCTGAACTCAATTATTTGAAAATGCATTTTATGGTAATTTAAGTCACCTTTGATTGTTGTTAAGTAGATTGATTTGACATTTTTACTAGATAATTATAAATGTCGTTGTATTCATGATGTACATTGCCAATCTATTCTAATTATTCCTTGCTTCCCAACTTGATTAATTATCTATGTATTAAGATATAAATGACTTCGGACTCTGTTTCTACTACAAAATGTCTAATTGCGTAAATCATCACATGTAACTCGAGTAACGATTTTTAATCCAAATTCAGTAGTATTGGTAACTGTATATCAAAACGTTACCTAATACAAAATTTTATCATTTGACTTGCAAAGTAGTTAAATAGTCCATAAAAAGTAAGAATTTAAGCCTTAGATTTTAATATGGTGTATAATGCAAAGCTAGCGTGCCAAAATGGCGTTATAACCTTTGATTATTCAAAGATCAATATGCATTCCGATTCGAATAATACACACGTAATTAATCTAACCTTTCCGGTTTTCACATTACCTCCTCAAATGTTACATAACTTCAGCGTAATTTTACCCAAAAATTGGTAATCTAAACTTTTACAACTGGAGCGCTTGGTTTCACTACCATAATGACCAGTAACTGTTATTACCATCCACAATGATTCATCCGAATTCAACTTGATCGATGGGCTTATTGATATTAATGCATGAAAATTACAGACAGTTCCCGGGATCTGATTAGTTGTAAAAATGTGCAAGTTGGTATGAAATGTCGAGCTCTAACTGGCCTTTTGGACAACCTAAAAGGTTATTACTTTTTGAATGAAAAAGTACCCCAGTGTGGAATGCACACAATTTTGCGAGGTGTGAGGAGAAAAAATCCCTTTCCGTAATATTGATTGATGCCATCCATATTTTACGAAATTGTTTACAAATTCTAATTCCATAATTTATACACTTGATTCACAAATCAATTCATATCCCCTCCCCCACATCTGGAGCTTTTCAGCCACTATTTACTCCTATTAATGACCTCATCACTTCACTACGCTCTTTCTGCAGCGTGATAGGTGTAACCACGTTTGAATATATTGTTCACCAATTATCATTGGAGTAATTCACAATCAGCATTCCAATTAGCATTTAATATCAGTTGTTTTGCTGATTAAAATATGAAAAGTTAGGACACAAAAAAATTAATTCTGCTTGAGACAATAACTTAAATAAGTAGGCTTAATTACCACGTATATACATGCCACATTAGAATTCCATTGTCGAATTGCAGGATTAGTAAACTCAGAGGAAATCAGGTAACTATTATTGCTTCAACTTACTAGCGTAGAAATAAATATTTGACAGTAACAAAGATCGTGTAGAATTGGGAAAACCTCCACCTAAATTCTGATTCGATCAAATCCCTAAATGTGAAAAATCTTAAGAGTTAAACATCTAACTGTTGGTTTCCCTTGTCAGGTAAACACTTTCCTTAAAACAATGATGCGATAATTTCCTAACCGACTGAATAAACCATTGTTTCTTCTTAAATTTGGGGAAAACGTGATGAAATTGTTGGAGGAGGATTGTATTTATTCAATGAGTGTAAAGAAAAACTTCACATCCAATAATTTGAATAATTAAATGTTAACATCTAGATTGGTATCGATTACCCAAAACATAGCAATGTTTTATCAGGGCGCTGCCTGAATAAAAAAACCTATAAAACGGTATTAGCTCGCATTTATTCAAATTAATTAATTTCAATCAAAATATCAAGGCCAAAAATGAACAGCTTGAAATGATAAGAATACAGAGGACTATAAATTAAGAGGACGATTGATAACGCCCGTTCGAGAGGCTGCTGAGAGTAGAAGGGCCTGAAAGAAGTTTTCTGATTGAATGTGTGCTGAAATCAGTAACGTTTAGAGTAGAATATTAAAGTGCTTCTGGGTATTCGAATGCTCAAGATTGAAGACTGTCAAAAGACAGTGAAGAATACAAACGAGAGTAAATATGGTGATTACGGTGTTTAAAAAGGGAAGTATCTTGTCCGACGAATAAGCAAAAGGTCCAAGAAGTTTGAAAAATATGTCGATGAATCTATGACAATAAGATCGTGACATTCGTTAGAAACCGTGGCAAATGCCAAAAAATTCGAAATTTAGTCAGAAATTCATTATCAATCGTTACATATTGAATGAGTATTTTTTAAATTCTTTATTCATCATCAACTTCAATATTCTAATCGAAAATCAAACCCGTTTTGCTCTTATTTAAATTATAAGCTTGCCTCGAGGAGTTGTTCATGTGATTTATCTTCAATCAGACCATCGCTTACGTCATTTACTTGAGGACAAAATAACATAAACGGTTCAGGGGCCGGTAGACTGTTTTTGTTATTCCTTTACGAAAATATGCAGACGAAATTACAATTAAGCAAAGGAAAATGGACGGAAGACTGATTTTGGAATTCGAAGACTTGCTAGTGGTTAATCTTCATAATTCGTTAGGGGAGGGGGGGGGGGTCGTACCTTCACTACATACTTGCATACTGGTAACAGGTTGATTTATTTGAATATTATGGCGTTTCTATCGATTTTTTAGCTCGTACTTCTTTCAGTAGGATAAGCAATAATACACTTACAGAGCGCAACATATTGCAGCTAATTAACTTATTGACTTTTTGTACAAATATATGCATCATATTTGTTTTTTTATTACCCTGTTCAGATTTGATGTCAAGAGCGTAAACCAATTTCTGCTGATTCCGCAGCACGATAACAGTATTATTTATTGTGTAATCAGTGAAATGACATTATAATTGTTAATTTTATTCATACTAAGATAACTTGACTTTTTCAATAGTTTTCTGATAAGTCATCGAGGCTTAATGAGTCTAATGCAAAAGTAAAATGACTAGTCATATGTTTATTTTTAATCAAAATTGAAATCATTATTTAATTATTTTGTTTATGAATTTGCTGCCTAAATGGAAGGAATTTCTTTATATTAAAGTAAAGATATCAATTAAAGAGAAAAAGATGCTGAAACTGCAGTAACGGCACTTCAATCCAGCTTATTGGGGAGAGATGGAATGAGAAGAGCTCAAATTAAATCAGAAGATTGACTGTAGAGGTTGACGCTTAGAGAGCCAGTTCGATGTGTGACAAAAGATGAGATTGGAAGTCGAGTGTGGTAAAGGTTATACAGTGGTACCTGTAGAAAAGAGGTTGCATACTTTAAAGAATTAGAATAATGTATGTGGAAGTAGCGGTAAAGATAGGCCAGCGATCAATTGAAAAGTTGTGAAGTATTGGCGTGCCATTAATAGAGTAGTAATTGGAGTTTCGAAAGACTGACCTAAGTAAGCTTAAAGGTAAGATCTGGTTCGTTGACTGGTATTCTATTAATCGCCAAATTTTCCTGCACTATTTAATACCGCGGAAAAATCAAACGTAAATGGCTCATGGAGCGTAGTCTTCAACTACTTATGTAATCAAGCTTCTTAATTTCACTGGTTCTGTATCAAATAATCACAATGGAGGTTTCAGGTAGAATTTTGGCCAAAACAAGATGAAAACACTTATAGCTACAAAATGCGTTGGTCAGACAAATTTGATACACTTATCTGAAAATGACTAACAAGCACCTTTTATGATGTAACTAATCTATATTTCAGCGACAGTCACTGAAGAAGAAACCGCCTCAAAAAATCCTGAAGGGAGTGGTAAGTAAACATCTTGATGCACCTTTACTAAAAACATTAAGTTGCTAAATTCACCTCGATTGAAAACCTTAATACGGAATTCGCTTCTCAAATGCAAATATTCGCATTACTTACTTCTTTTCCAATCCCTTATTTCAGAATTCACTTTGAATTCTTCTTATCGAAAAAAGGAAATTGCCCACCCGAATAGAACGAGTTTAAGCACTGATAGGTGTTTTTCAGTCTAAACTTTAGTGGTATTGATTTGATAATGAAGTCATTTCCAATAATAGCCTAGATATCGTGATGATGGCAGCTTAAGGGCCCCGAACTTTCCTTAATATGCGCTAAAAATTCTCTTCATTTTATTTGAGAAATGGTGCAAGATCCTTTTAATAACGAAAGCACTCATTTTCAAAAAAAATCATAATTCAGAACCATTACCTCAAAATCATTTAATTATAAATATCATATTTTTAAATAATGAAGGTAATGTGAAATATAATCGGTTTAAACCGTGGTAAAGCAGAATGTTTGTCTGTAATTTTCAATTTACCTACAAGAGTGAATCGAAAAATGTAAGAAGTATTTCTTAAACTTAAAAGGTGCTTTATATATGTAATTGAACTCAACAACCGTTGAATAACTGTGTTTGTTCTAGAACCTTCCACCTCAAATCAAACAGACTCGTCCAGAGAGAAATTAATTCGCGATAAAGGTACACAGCATTTATGACATAAAATCTGAATAATTTCAAAACTTGACACCTGACATGTCTTTCGAATTCCATTTTAGGGTAAATATGAGTTTAGTTATCACTTTCTTTTAATGACAGTATAATGACATTTAATTGCTTTTTATCCTAAATTTCGCACTCGCTTGATATTGTTTATGTTACTAAAGGAATATTCATTTTAAAGGAGTATTTGTTTCATTTTAACACCCATTGTTTTTGGCCTGAAATTACTGCGTTGCCCACTGTGCTATGATAAATTCTAACTTAAAAAATTTACGATTTTAGTGAATAATTTAGCAAATTTTTATTTAGACGCAGACGATCTTCATCAATCTGTTTGCCACCTATCAAACGCGCGTCCTTACGGAAGTAATGGTAAGCGACGTCGAAAATCGTTTGTTCCGCCTTCATTTTGACACTGATTTATCTTTTGCACTCTGAAGCGTCTATGGAGCAGTGCTATGCTTTTTTTGAATACCACCACACAGCAGGATGAATACAGAGACGTCACATAATATTTGTATTAGGAGATAATAAAGGTAAAACTAAGTAGAAAACTGAGATCGTATTTATGTCAATTAGCACATTTCAATAAGAGGAGACAAGAAACATGGAAATATTGGTATTTAGGTTTAAGAACAAAGGTTTCGTCGAAAACCGAACTTAGTAATGAAAGCAGAAAAATGTTCTAATTTGGGAAAGCGCATTACAGTCAAAGCAAATACTTTTTAAATATATCTCTGGTTTCGTTATTTTGCTTTTTCATGAGGTTATTTGATGAGCATATCTGGAACGGGCTAAATTATTTGATCGTATTCGGTTTGGTTACATTAAAAAGGGTTTGACAATCCGGTAACAGAGGTGTTTGGGCAAACTTTTACCTTATTTGCAGAAATAGGATTCCGGATGTTATGCGTTATAATACCATAATGTGGAAAGATGCAAACACCCTAAATATCGATAATGGCAATATATCTAGCATTAAGGTAAAGTTATCACTATCATTTTGTGAAAGCAAAGGTTGAACATTTGCTTAGCATTAGTGTAGACCTAGTTAGCGAAACTTCCAATCGTACACGCTGAATCCGGCATTTTGACGCATTCCTATACCATTGAACAGTAATGAAAATTATTTAATTAAGTGAGAGTTATTACTTTAATCCATATTTTGATCAATCTTTTCAGGATTTTCAAATTTTATTGCAATTCAGCCGAAATCGTCTGAAGTACCAGTAAGAAACATGTGGGGCAAATTTGGCCTTGCTACCACGACTCTGCTTCTACTTGCTGCAGCTTGCTTCTTTTACAAAACTCGTTCAAGAACTTGAAACTTTCGGTTTTTCTTCACTTTTTTTCATATTTTGCACTGCCCTCTTAGCATACGCATTAATCCTCCCCACTAATGTGATCATCATCATTTCTTCCCCTTTCCAGTCATATCATATCCTGTCATGCATTCCTCCAAATTTTTGTTGAATTGAAAATTGAATCAATCATTTGTGTGAAAGTATTGCGCAGTCTAGAGGTCATTATCATTTTCAATAAAATTTATCTGAATTATTTTCAAAAAACGGTCTTTATCTATTGTCTGAAAGTTGTTAAAAGATCGCTCTGAAAAAAAGACATTTTAAGGTATTGAAAATGAGTGAATATTTTAAATTAAAGAATAAAAATGGCCTTTTAAACAATTATTCACTTTTAATAGACATTTTTCGATACAGGAGAACTTACTTACACATGAAATAAGTTCATTTTAATACAAGATCACTTACGTATATATTTTTGATAGCCTCAGTGGATGTCTGGAATTTTTTATTCTAAATATACTCTAGAGCCATCTCAAATCCTTGTTCGATGCGTTAGCACGATGAAAAGGAAGGGTGTCATCCACGGAAAATCTAATCGCCGATTTCGACCATTAGAAGGGTTATCAGTATGGAATGAAATAAATGGTGTTGACCAATAAGTAATTGTAATTTAAATTTCCTTTGTGACTCACGATGTTGCTGTCTTTTGCATTTAGACCCTTCGGTTCAGTCCTCCCTAGATGGACTGATCTGAGATCAAACATTCACGTATTCTGACGTACTTCGCAACTGAATTCCCTTTATTACTAAGGCCGTCTGAAAGCGTCCCAAAATCTTAAATCCAATCTCCACTGAACTATGCTTCTCCTTCAACGAATATTTCGTAATTTACTCGTCAACAAATGATAGATTCGACTTTAACAGATATGGCTGTAAGAAAACAGCCATTTTCAGTTTAATTATCTTTTTAGAAGTTAATCAAACAAAATTGCATACTTATTTAGTAAATAGTAGACATAGTATAATCGGAACCGTGTTCAGCGAAGAATTATTAAATTATCTGCGGAAAAAGGCTCGTATAGGGTATCTATTCGCAACAAGTGCGCAAAAAATGCTGCGTAACTTTATTATATTATTTAGCTATTTTCAATGACATTTACCAAGACATATAATAGTTACATTTAGCGCAGTAAGTTGTTATGAATAATACACCATGTCATAACCTGCACCAAGAGTACCTCCATTCAACAGTCCTTTGGCATTGTGAAAAGCACTGATCTAACATTTGGTGATTAGCTTTCACAAAATTTCCAATTACATAATTTTAGTGCCTCATAATAAACGATGGCACATTAGGCAAACTTCTCATAGATTTCTGTATGTGCGGTGATGCCCACGTGACAAAATAAATTAACGGGGCAAAATAAACATGGAGGTCATTTGAGCATTATTTTAAATCTCCTTATTTACATGTTCTCTGCAAATTTAATGAGAATAAAACAATCACTTACTATGCATATACAATGGAAGAAATTAATATACAAGCATTTTTCTTTCACTTGTACTTACCATTCTTAATACTCTTCATGTAAAACCTGCTCAATTTCCCCACACTACGGAACAATTACCAGATATTAATATATTTCGCATTTCACATAATAATTAATCAATATAGGTGCAAAGAGAATCATGTGAGTGCTGAAGGTTAAATGCATACACATTATGCAGTGAAAAAAATACTATTTTTAATCCTAGAAGACACGTCGTTGAGAGCACTTGTAAAAAATCTTGAAATCTTGCCGTGATAATTTGATAATTTTTTCTTTTCGCCATTTATGATAAGTCAAATAGCGTAGGATACTTTGTGTGCAGATCAGCCTAATTTAATCCAAAATGATTCTAGGTACAAATAAATCCATAGACCTCGCATTATCGAGGCACTTATTCATCAAATCCATCGTTCTATACTGAAAATTTGTAAAATTTTGGAGGGTAAGTGAAGAAGGTCTCATGAACACCGGACCATAAAATCTGAAATTTGGGCATAAAATGCTGCAACCTGACTCCTAATTAGCATGTGACCGCCTCCGAAAGCTCTGCCTTTCAACAAACCAAAAAGTACCCAATTTAGACCTGTCGCACATTTTAAGGGAAAGTTGCAGGTAATTTACTTCTTTTTTTTCTTAGATGAGAGAAAGTCATGGCAATTTAGAAAATTGAATTTGATTTAAACTTTACTCAGGTAGGTATGTATGTGCTTTCCTTATTAGCACTTTTTCCTACTTTTATTTAATTGTATTAATAAATATAACAAAAAACAATAAAAAATACTCAGAGTTGGGAGAATTACTGGGATTTTCCAAAAATTCGCCCAGGGTGGTTAAACGGAAAATTCCATTTCAAAAAACTACTTCTGGAACCAAATAAGCACCCAATCGAATATCACCGATGGGCAATAATACAGAAGCAAATATTTCACCTAACGCGCAAATTGAGCATCGAAATGACTCACCCCATATGGGGAGAGTCATGCTTCAGTCCCAAATAGAGAAAAGCTGTAAAACTGCTTTTAGCTTACAATTTCGAATAACCGCGGACTTTCGGAAAACCCCGGTACGTTTTACTCGCTTCACATTACACCTCTTTTATATCCAGACAAAATGACGTCAATTACCGGAGTAATTACTGCGTTTATTTAAGAGCAATCGCTCTCCCCCCTCTCCACTCACAACTTAATCACTAGTGCCCAAGTATGTAAAGTGACAGTAGGTGAGCAACCAGGGATGGGACTTTCAATCGCGACGGTCAATTTGAGATTTGATAGAAAGCAAGATCTTTGCTTTGTTCCAGTCAATTTCATGTGTTCGTTTGTGAGATTTTGGTCATTTCTTGGGTTTTTATCTAATTGTATCTTAGATGGATTTAACTTGCATACTATATAAGGCTTTGACCTTCATAAAATGTCTAGAATTTTTTAGATTATAATAATATGTAGATGCATTTTAAGAATTACTATGTCAATCATTATTACTATATCAATCATAGTTTGCATGTTCACAAACTAACTTATTATGTTTAACTAAAAATATGCTAAATTTTTGAAACTGTTATGCCCCCTTTGACGTTCTACTTTAATATCGAACGTTGACAGCTTTATATGAAATGGTATATCAAGTAAAGAAGTGAGACAAATTCAATCCTGTTAGCATTAAATTGAAATACTTGTTATTTCATTAAAAATTGCTTATTGGTGCATGCTATTTGGAATTCTGATAAAATACTTACCTATCACAAATCCATTTCTTGCGTGTATGTTACTTGAATAGGAGGATTTTCATGTTCGCTTGAGGAAACGTTTCTTGTGAGTGATTAATAAGCCAAATTTTGCTCGTTTAACACCACTATCTGCGAGATGGAGAATTGTAAAATAACAGCGAATACAAAGCGTTAACTTGGAATTTAATGGAAAGCAAAAGCTTTAAAAACTGATGCGTATGATTGGATGGCCTTGGAGACACAGATGCGTTCAAAGTATTTGGTACATTCCTTTTCATGCATCGAACAAAAAATTTAAACTTTCATTCTGCCAATGTTTTTTTTCTTGCCATACAGTTTTTTGATACTCTCTATGGTGGAGCGTCCTTGTCTCTGACAAAAGCTGCATAAACAATATTTTTCAAAACGACCAGCATATACCTTTGTTTCAATCACTCCAAACTTTCAGTGTGAATGGTGATGTTATGAGGACATTTTTTCCCGGTGTTAATTGTTTCTACGCTTAAAATGGGTAAAATAAATTAAAAAAACACTCTTTTTAAAATTGTAATAACCATAATGATCGCATACATATATGGTCTAATTATAATAAATTAATTTTGAATTATCTGCATTTTCCAAGACATAACTTATAAATTAGGTTCTATTTCTTAATGATTTGTGCGTGTATGTCATCCTTTTCGTTTGTAGAGGAAGAAAATTGGCAGTCTGCGAAGCAAGAAGTTAGTAGACGCTAAATGCTATTATATTGGCCAAGTGTAACAAGAGCTTATTATTTCAGAGGTCCTCCAATCACTTAACAATTAGAGTGGCATTGTTTTCAGATGTGCATGAGAGTCTCTTCAGGAGTGTAGCTGACCAATATCGATCCTATCAATCGCCTTGTTGTTTTGAAGACTCAACACAGATCCTAAAACTGGCAGATATAAAATGACTCATACATTTTTAATGAGAAAATAATTCGTAATCAGACGCTTAAAATAACTACGTACTTGATATATCAGTATGTTATCGTAAACATAATCCAGGCTGTTTCTAAAGGAATGGTGGGTGCTCACAAACGTAAAATGTGACCGCAATTGCTGAAATTCCGCAGGAAGAAGTTAGAGGACATATAATTGAACTTCGCCTATAGCTTACAATGAAATTATTTCCACTTATGCATAATTGGCATATATGGCTGATAGATTAGCTGTCTATTTTTCTATGAAGATATGAAAATGATTTAAAATTCTACTTCCAGTGGGACGAATTAATTTCTCAGAGTTCCAAAGAATCTGTTTACGACATTTAAAGATTCGACTTCATATCCTACTTTCAAATTAAACATTTTCTGTTTCAAACGATTGGTAAATATCGTTGGAGTGCATTAGCCTAATATTAGTTTTCATTAAAATTTCGGTTTTTATAGACTGTAATCTTCAAATCACGGTAAAAACCTTCGATTCCTTTGAAACTAAATTTGCCCGAAAATTTAATTTGTCAATAATGGCTTCCCAGTTATCAGGTTAGTAGAAATCCCCACCACGTCAATAACTTCTTTTGGTGTGTTGAACAAAATGTCACTCATCGACAAAACTTTTTGTATTGGTGTTGCTACTCCAAAATGGATCATTTTATAGTTCATATCCTAGAAATTTTATCTTTCTCAGTATATCATGCCATATCGCTTTTTATTACGAAACTCTTCAAAAATACAAAATTGCCACAATTATATATTCTGTTTTCTTATTCACCTTTTCCCTTTTCTGCCGAAAGAAAAGATGCCAATACATTTAGCACGCGCTAAATAGGCTTTGTGACAATTGCCTTTTAGTTCCAAAATGAATTCCATAAGTGTCAGAAATAAATGCCAAGAAAAACATCTTTTTTATATCATGATGGTTTGTGATTAAAAGAAATCAAAGGCGTCAAGAATTCTATTGTACTTTGCTCTCAAAACCGATAATTTGATTAATTATTATGTGATAACGTCGCACACTTCTGAGTGTAAGTCAATTGACTTTATGAATAATGTGTGAATAAGTCAACGAAATCAACATATTCATAATTACATCAGTAGGATAATTTTACGTTAGTAGTATTTTGATTCACCTTGAAAGTGTATAAATAAACGTTTATATTATATAGTTTTTAATTGGGGCCAGTGGCATATTTACCATAGGTCTTAATCCAATTTATTTTAAATAATCGCATTGGAATTATTTGAAATACGAGTACTAAGTTCATGTTCACACGTTTAGTCAAACTGGACTCATTTTAAGTAATTAGTCAGCAAAAAATTTGAGGTTACTTGTACGACATTTAACTCTGCTTAATATTCATAAGGATGCTTATGGTGAGGACACCATATTTTTGAAATTTCGGAAGCCCAAATGATAGCTTTATCTTTGTTTATATACTTAACAAAAATCCCGTTGTACACTTCCATGATCATGTTCTGTTTCAATATATCGTTCTTAAATACTAGTAATCACCAAGCATTTTAGAACAAAAAGGAGCCAATTTACTGCCAAAGATGAGTGAAGTATTTTGGATTTGTTCCACTTATAACCCTAATTATTTAGTATAAAAGATATTATTAGAATATCGAAGAATTGACCTAGCCACCAAAATTATTTATTAGTATCACATAAGGAAGATGATTGATACAGTCTTTCAGAATTTCTAAAATTTAATATCCATTTCAGGGAGAGTGGAAGCCAATAAAATGAATGAGGTGCTATGTTGGCCATCAGCGAATATGGCTGGGTGTTCGTGCAGACAAAGGAAAAAAACACAAGTATCAAAAAGAAGATTGAAATGCACGTGACTGAAAGCGAGACAGTAGGGATGAATTTAGCCCAGTAGTCAATATCTACTTCAGCTATTAAAAATGTCATTTGCAAGTCCCAAGTAGTCCGCTGCAGTATTTTTCCTCTTCCCTAATCACAACGGAAATGCAGCTATGCAACCTTCAATTCAAAGTCATTCCTATGGTAATTAACGCTTTAATGTTTTTGAAACTTAGGCAAACCCAGCAGGTGTATTTATTTTTAAAATACAGCAACTTAGTTATTTTCCACCTCAACAAGTTAGCTCGTTAGTTTTCAATTAGCTTTACTTAATAATAATGGAATGAAACCACCAACGTCAATCGGGTGTTCAAATGAACATTATTATATTTAGGTATTGATGTTTGCTCTCTCCTTTTAAGGATCAATTAATAGGGGACCATCTGGTAACAGTCATAGTAAAGTGTAAAAGGTTTGTCAACTTCCACTTTTACTTCACTGATTTTGCCAACTTACAAAAACAATCGTCACTTGATGCAATGATCATACACAATAAAGTATTTACTTAAATAATTCATAAATAAAGCATCTGCAGAAAATTATCATTTCTATCAGAAAAGGTTAAAATTTAAAATAAGATGGTACAGAATAGATAACCCAGTAATTTGATTAGCAGCGCCCAGTAATTTTACAAGGAAGGCTTCTTCCATTTTAGACTAATTTTCCATTTCCATTCCACTTCATTAAATTTAAAGTTTAAAGAAAATAATTACATCAGAAGTAAATAGACCTACAACATGATAAGATCATTTTTTTCCCACTTTGATGCTGAACATTAGATATTCAAAAGCACAACCTCACTCCATGGAACAAAAAGACTGTGTTGATAAATAAATGTTGAAACAAAATTGACTTTTTAATCAGAGATGGAACTTTTCAAGGCTCGATGAGGGTCAGAAAACGTAATTATGATCATTATTACAATTGATTCCTTTATTAGAAATAAGGAACGATATTAAGTTCCATTCAAGGTACATCCAGCGGGTAAAAAACTGTGCCTGAAGTTATGCTTAAATGGGGGTGTAATCATTAAAACTAATAAAATGTGTTTAACACTTCCTATTTTTTCCATTGTGAATTCTAGAGCTCATTTTAACAATCAATGATTTCTTATTAGAAACAACTTTCCCTGCACCATAGTTTATAAGTTCATGCGGCCTTAAGGAAAGCTTAAATTTAAATCCAATATAAACACTCAAGCAGATTTTCTTTAGCATACGCCAGCAAGAAAGCGAAGGTATAAACACTTAATATTGGCTCTTTTCCGCTGACCAATCAGAGCTGACGGCTCTAGCTACAAGGTTATATAAATTCGCGGGAAGTAAAACTGCCAATCAGGTGTGCGTGCAGCTGAAAAGCCTAACATTGGCACATTTTGATTTATAGCCTTTTCGATAGACCTAGTCTCCTGATTTTCGAGATACTTTTCCCATTAATATTTTTAGAGACACGCACACAAAACGAACTAAATGAGCAGCGATTCTCCCTATTTACTCCCTGTTTCTTCCGTAAAAAAGGATAGTGAACGCCTTTACAAGTTCACTATTCTCACTCCGCATACCTTCCTCCCCCCAGACCATCCCGAGAATTTTGAAGATGACCTCGCGAACGAATTTGCTAAATATCTCTGTAAGAGAGTTCGTGAACTCCTTGGATCAAGATCATATATTCCACAAAGGAGTGGAGAAGCTTTCTTGAATATGAGGTTTGATGAATTTGAGGAGAAGTTCTTGAGACACTCGGAATATGCCATTTTCATCACCTCAGGGAAAAATGCAGCTTCATTGGATATCATCTACCCTCGAATGCTGGTGTTTCTAACCATTCGACCAACATGGAGAAGTCGAGGAATGGTGGTCTACTTGGGACCCCCTGAGGGACAAAAAGTGTTTGATCCAAACCTCTTCCTCACAAAGCCTCTCCTCTTCCCACTCAGTCCTGATGACTGGATCTCAGCAGAAGATCAATGGGAAACACTTTTTGGAAGACTACAGAGTGAGTACTAAATGTTTCATCATAGTTAATTTGACTATGTATTTCTTTTAAACAACTTAAAAACCCCATTTCATTATTAATGATTAAGCCTAAATCATAAAAACTCAAGTACTTAGCAAAATATCATAGAAATTTGAGTTTTTCCTCCATATGGTGACCTTCACGTTTTACTTTTTATTATTATTGATTTATCAAAGTCGTTTAGTTGAAATGATTAACAATCTTTAATGGCGATTTAATTAGAAACCAAATAGTTTCTGAAAGTTAACCAATTAGTACGTATTGCTAAGTACTTGTCAGATACTATGAAAGATTGATTCACATTTTATAAGACAAATAATGCCTCCTGTTCACACATGTCTAGTGCAGATGACTTGAAAGTACGAAAAGACACGGATTACCAAGAGAAGTCTGATTAGAAATGATTTAAACTGTCACGTAGGTGCTAGTGACATTTATAGTTATTTGATAATTACTGAAATCACGGCTATGGCAGGCACACATTTTAAATTCTCGAAGTCCTTCAATATAGACTTTATGAGAATAAACGCATAATAGTTCAATAAAATATTGACAAATGCATTTGAAAAAAATTTATTTGTATGAATTCCCATTATATTAAGGTCTCTTTTGTTTTCCAATTTCATGCTGACCTGAAAAAATATTAAATGGTGGAGATTTAACTCTTAATTTTCCATTAAAATTTGAACTTGCAGTCAATAAATTGAAACTAACTAGTATTGTCATCAGTTAATCCCCGATCGAAAATGCAATTAAAATGCAGAAATAGACTCTAGATCGAAATTCATCTAAACTATTCACCATCGAGCAGCAGTTTTGGTTTCAGAAGAGGCAAAATGTCTTGTGACCTAACGGAAGATTCTTCTTTATTTTTCTCACTTTGTTAAAAAAGGGCGTATTTTCGAAAGGCAACACCTAAGATTATGCATATTTCATCTTACCAATAGAAATTATTGATAAAAGTTTTAATGCATTAATTTACTTTCTTTTTGATTTATCAATGAAAACTTTGGAGCTGTGAATTATGATATTACATGAGACCGTAAGCCTTCCTTTTCACCGCTCTGAACAAACCGTTTGGATAGATATTGAATAGACAGTTAAAAAGATTTTATACCAATCAAATTGTTTGGGATTCTCTCACAGATTAAGTCTAACAATGGTCTTCCTGCCTCAATCACTACTCACAAATCAATTTTCTGATGAAATATAATTATTTTTCCATAGATAGCATGTCTAGAGCGTTTATTTTTAACGAAAAATCTGGCACGACTTCAGATTCATCTCAAAATTACCTAACTCAAAGAACGATTAATCGCGTTTCCTTTTGTGGGTCTAATAAACTTATCTCGATCTATTTGCCAAAAGGTTTTCAATCTAAAGAAAGCATTGAGTCCTGTAGATGGTTCAAAGATCCCGCTGAAATATGATGGTTTGTGGAAGAACAGAAATCGTCATTAATATAACATTATTAAGTCTTGGCAATTGTCAGTGTATTGGTGCTAGACACTGGAGGTGCACGCCCATAGACAACGAGGGGCATGTGACCAACCGCAAGGTGAAAAATAGGAAAGAAGGCAATTGGTTGAAAAGTGACAACAAATTCGTAAGAAGCAGAGGGTGTTATGAATTTCTAATAAAGGGAGAAATTTAATTTCACAATAGACATTTATTCTAGTATCGCATCAAGCAAACCACATGGGCAAAAATATTAGTTAACGTTCAAATTCAAGAATATCGAAATGAGAGTTTAGTCAGGTGTTATCTCCCCTTCATTTTGGCATTCTTTTCTATTTTTAAATTGCGAAATTTAGTTTTGATTTACATTTTCCAATGCCATTTTTTTCTTCTCACTGAAAAGGTAAATGTCTTAAACCTAGAACGCGTTCATGAAATTTAACAACTGGCAACACAAAGATACATGTAGAGTGCATGGTTGACCAAGTTTGTTGTTTAAATTAACATGACACTAATGATCGGTATAAGTCCTTCTGACTTCGTCCATTGCAAACTCGTCAGTTTTAAGGTCATTACATAAGTTATATGACTTCTGGGGGTACCTGATTGCTTTAAATTTCCCGTTAACCTCAAGAGTAGGATATGACAATATAAAGAAAACTCTAGTAGACAGTTGTCATACATTTGAAATGCATGGTCTTGCATTTTTAGCGCTTAAAATATATTTTCGAGCTTAGAGCTTTGTACAAATACATGACTAATAAAAGCGCATGCGCATTGGCAAGTGAATTTTTTCTGTGTCGTCTGATTTTGACTATTTCTTTAAAGCCCACAATTGTGTGAACCTTCATACGACCTAGCTAATTGAAATAGAAGAACCGGGAAAATCATTTCATCTAGAGGTGTGGGTGCAACGACATCATTTATTAATCAATTTATAATAAAATTTTGTTTTAGAGTAGCATAAAATTGGAGAAGAGTAAGTAGGAATCTTTCCCCCTATTAATTGCAAACTAAAATTAAGGCTATCTCCGGTTGAATCACTTGTTATTATTGGGATCACCAAGAAAGAATTCGACTTTAAGAGAAATGTAAAAATGATATCTAAACTCCAGAAGCTGCTTTGCTCTCAGGGACTTCAGTGGATTATACGAGAATGAGGAGAGTCGCAGAACTGCTGTTAAGTTTTGTACTGTTTTTGTTGCGTCCTATCATCACAGACGATTAGTTTTACTTCTGCTTATTCAATTCTAAAATGCGCTGAAATGTGGAATAAACTTAACTGACAATGAGGGTCATAATAACTCCTACTATTCACTTAAAAGAAGATACTATTGGTCCATTTTAGCGAGCTGCAGTCATGACGTTTAGCTTTCTCAACTCAAAGCTTGACGAATCTTCAGTGTATTGATTCGGACAAGCAACTTCGTTGACGTTTTAAAACCAATAAAACACAAATTTTGAATTACCATATTTTCTATTTATATTTTTGAAAACTGACCTTTTAATCGGAGTGTTTTCTAATACTTACTTCATGTGGATCCGATTTGAATGAACAAGTACACACTTACCTACTATGTAAATGAAAAGATAATTTAATGCTTATAGTATTCTTTCGTAAATGCCGATTTGCTGATAAATTAAATGAAGGTACATCGTGGTGAAAATCACGGACTTCGTCATCCTTTTCAGAATGCAGTCTTCTCCGGTTCACAAAAAGTGTGTCGATGTGCGTCGTATTCGCGATTGCTCGTCTTGCAGACAAGTCCATCACTAATATCTAAGTTCTACGATTGCTGCACAAAGCTAAATAAGCTTGAGCATGAATGCGGTTTAGAATTATTGAGAAATTTTTGCGAAATATTTTCCTCAAATATTTAGAGCAATTTGTTCTAAAAATAGTGGAGCTTAATGAAAATTACATCATTTAATGCTATTTCTAATGATTACTCTTCATGAGGAATTAATTTACGTTTTTCTGAGTACGAGATCGTCACGATTGCGTAACGGTATATTGCGTCTCAAAATATGGGGACACAAGTTCCGATTTCACCTTAAATCTAACTCTGTTCTGATCACAAAATGAAGCATTGAATTGAAATTCTAGAAAATTAATGCGTAGTTGAGGAATTCCGAATACATGAGGTCATGGGTAAGGTTCAGGAATTGCAGTTGATAGTTGTATGAAAGAACTTTTGTCTATTTTTTCGTTTTTTTTGAAAATCTTTTAATAGAAGCAGTAGGGACAACTGGGAGACGCATACTTTCAGATGTTGAAGTGTGAAGGTATGGATCTTTCCTTACGACCTTCGTAATCTATTTATATTAAGTATCAGGCTTTATGATGGTTATCATTAGCCCTTTAGTTGAAGAGTTGTTCGCAGATGTAAAAGAGACAGACTCAAGGGTAGAGAAAAAGGTAAGATGAGGTGAGTACTACGTAAGTTATCGAATGACACAAGGTGAGACCATGATAATTTGGAGCCAACTGCCAGGTTTATTGACTTTTTTGAAGTATGAGTATACGTTGCTCAGAGAGCACTACGTGTTGTTGAGTCTATTGCGCACCCCACCTTCGTAATCTAAAACATTAGACCGTAATGACACTGATTTTAACTAAAAGTGTAGTGAAATTGAATAACACTTGCGCGAAAAGTCGCGTTTAATTAAGAAATGCTTCCACTGATTCCAAATTACATTCCTTCACAACAATAGGTCCTATATTCGGCATGTTCCTTCAATTCACGATCGGTTAGGTCAATATAAACTAAGAACTCTACCTACTCCGTCTAACATTAAATCAACCTAGATAAGCAGTCGGCATCTTTTAGGCTCACTCACATTCATTCACTCCGAACTAGAAGCGTCGATTTATTTTAAACTTTTCAGGTGGCTACACCAATGCATTGTATATAATTTGAATTTCAATTGAAAAATAACTGATGTGGTCTATTCAGGTTAGCCTGATATCCCCTTCCCTCTAGGGTCTGAACAGCAACAACCATACATCAAAGTAATTTTTGAGAATAGTTGAAACATTTAAAAAAGGGGATTCAAAATTTTTATTTTCTCACTTCCAAGCAGCTAAATTTCAAAGATTAGCACATTCTACTTGCAAAATGTAAGTAGCATGCCAGTATGTTAATTATCTTATTAATAGCACTATAAAATTCAATAACAATTCAACGTTTTACAACTCTTCATTTTATCACTTCATATTTGCTTATTTCAAATGGCAGGCGTTCTGATAATTATCATCAACTCGTTAGCTAATCTGGGCGTTCACAGAGAAGAGGAGGAACACCAAAGTGACAAAAATTCGAGAGGGAAGGGGGGGACAGAATAATGATTCACAGATTAAAAGAGTCAGGCAGACAAAAAGGCAGAGAAAATGTAAAATGAGTACTGTGGAAGTGGTCGAATATGGCATACAGTGTGGTCATGGTAGTTAGAAGTCAACTGCCAGTTAGTAAACATTTTTGCTAATATCATCAAAAAACGATATGCTTTATCAAGCATTGTACAAAAATCT